ATAGGTGCAGCAGGTAATCAGGAATGTTAATGGAATGGCAGTTATTTAGAGGAGATTGAAGTATAAGAGTAGATAAGTCTTACTGCAAGTTTACAAGATGCTTATGAGACTACATCTGGAGTACTGTGAGCAGTATTGGTCCTCTAATTTAAGGAAGGATGTCATTTAATTGGAGACAGTTCAGAGAAGGTTAACTAGGATTATGTCTGGTATGGAAAGATTGTCTTATGAGCAAAGGCTAAATAGGTTGGGATTCAATTCGCTGGGCCATAGAAGGATGAGAGGCCATCTGATTGAAACTAATAGGATTCTTTAGCAGCTTGACAGCTTAAATGCTGAGAGGATATTTCCCCTCATAGGTGAGTCTAGGACCAGAGCAATAGTCTTAGAATAAAGGGGTGTCAATTTAAGACTGACATGAGGAGGAATTTCTTCTCTCAGGGATTTGAATGTCATTGAGTCATTAGAGCTGTACAGCATGGAAACAGACCCTTCAGTCCAACATGTCCATGCCGACTGGATATCCTAAATAAATCTAATCCCATTTGCCAGCATTTGGCCTATATCCTTCTAAACCCTTTCTATTCAAATCCAGATACCTTTTAGTTGTTGTAATTGTACCAGCCTCCACTGGCAGCTCTTTCCATACACACACCACCTGCTGTGCGGAAAAAGTTGTTCCTTAGGTCCATTTTAAATCTTTCCCCTCTCACCTTAAACCTATGCCCTCTAGTTTTGGACTCCTCTACCTTGGGGAAAAGACCTTGGCTTGGAACTCCTTGCCTTTGGAACTGTGGGGCAGAGTCCTTGTATATATTTATGGCTGAGATAGATAGTTAGATTCTTGATCAATAGGGGAATCAAGGGTTATGGGGAGAGAGCTGTCAAGCAGACATGAGGAATGTTGGATCAGCCATTATCGTGTTGAATGGCAGAATAGGCTTGAGAGTCGTACAGCCTATTCCTGTTCTATTTCTTTTGCTCCTGTATTGTCCCTTCTTACTGCAGTAACTGACTTCTTAATTAATAAAGCAACACCACCTCCTCTTTTACACCCTCTCCTTTCTCCTCTGAAGATCCTATATCCTGAAATGTTGAGTTCCCAGTCCTGCCCCTCCCTCGGTCACTGTTTCTCTGTGATGGCAACAATATCGCAGTTTACCTGTCAATCACACCCTTAACTTTTCTGTCTTACCTATAATACTTCTAGCATTAAAGTAGAGCCTGTCTAGCCTTGCCTTACTAATAGAGTGAGTGAATATAATGTCAAATCAGATTTCAAAAAGTGCAAGAAACTGACAGAAAAAGAACATAAATTTAGAATGTAATATTTTTAATCTATCCACAACAATTCCATACCTGAGGAAATGAGACTTCATACTTCTAATTCAATAGTTTATTCAGACAGTTTCCACTTCTTCTGGGTTGAGACTGCAATCCTGGTGGAAAGTGTAAATAGGGCTGTCACATGAAAAACATTGTTAATGTTATCTAACACTATTGATTAAGAGATTGTGTTCTGTGGTAAATTTAGTGGGTGGTTAGTGTCCAAGTGCAACAACTTCAAACTTCCAGGGGAAGATGAGGACTAACAGAGAAGTGAGGCAATTTACAATATGGGCATTTTCCTTTGCCACAAATTGCTAGCTGATTTGCACATTAATAATTCTGTATATTTAGACACCAATATTTTTAATTTATCACTGACTGGGAAATAACTGAAACAAACTGTTCCAAACTTCGATATTGTCTTCTGAAATTTAGGAGAATGTATAGTGGGTTGAATTTTCTGAGGTGGGAATTTCATGCAGATGTCACGCCAGTGCTCCTTTTTTGCACAAGAAGAGAACGTTCTGCTTCTGAGACATGATTCTACTCAGAGTTTCCTCAGAAATGTGGATCCGTATGTCTGTTCTGACAGTTCTTTCATAGTGTGCAGTGGATTCAGAAAGGGCATGAATCTTTGAATATGACACCAGGAAATCTAAATTTAGTGTCACTAATCCGTTCTTCTAAATGGGTGCTGCCAGGTAGACTCCACAGCAGAGTTCGCCTTTGCTGCGCAGTATTTGAGTATACAAGAGAGAGACTCCGTTATCGAGCAATCAATCCTTGCTATGCAAAACCACCTATTAGAATGTAAATTGAATATGGATTGAGTGCTTCTTGCATTAGATCCAGACTTAAGTTGTAAACCCATGGATAATTCATAGAACAGGTAAACGAATAAAACTCCATCCAAAGTAGTATTAAAAGCTTAAGTCTTCAGCTTTGCAAGAGCAAGATCAAAACTGCAGATTCTGAAAATCTAAAGCAAAATCAGAAAGTGATGGAAATACTTGGCCATCCGTTTTCAAAGTTTGATTGGGTTTTTTAAAATTCATTTGTGGGATGTGGGCGTTTATTGCCCATCTCTAGTTGCCCTTGAGAAGGTGGTGCTGAGCTGCCTTCTCGAACCACTGCAGTCCATCTGCTGTGGGTTGACTCAATGCCATTAGGGAAAAAAATTCCAGCATTTTGACCCAGTGATAGTGAAGGAATGGCAGTATATTTCCAAGTCAGGTTGGTGAGTGGCTTGGAGGGGAGCTTGAAGGTGGTGGTATATGTGTCTGCTGCCCTTGTCCTTCTGGGTGGAAGTGGCCATGGGTTTGGAAGGTACTGTCTGAGGATCTGTGGAGAATTTCTGCAATGAATCTTGTGGATAGTACATGCTACTGCTACTGAGTGTCAGTGGTGGAGGGAGTGGACACTTGTGAATGCAGTGCCAATCAAGCAGGCTGCTTTGTCCTAGATGGTGTCGTGCTTCTTGAGTGTTGTTGGGGCTGCACTCATCCAGGAAAGTGGGGATTATTCCATCACACTCCTGACTTGTTCCTTGTAGATGGTGGACAAACTGGGGAGTCCGGAGGTGAGTTACTCGCCGCAGTATTCCTAGCCTCTGACCTGCTCGTGTAGCCACTGTGTTTAATGGATAGTCTTCAATAGATAGATGTGGTGAGTCCAGTTGAGTTTCTGTTCCATGATAACTCTCAGGATGTTGATAGTGGGGGATTCAGTGATGGTAACACGATTGAATATCAAGGGCGGTGGTTAGATTATCTCTTATTCATGATGATCTTAGGCTGGCATTTGTGTGGTGTGAATGCTACTTGTCACTTGTAACCCCAAGCCTGGATGTTGTCCAGATCATGTTGCATTTCAACATGGACTGCTTTGTATGTGAGGAATCATGAATAGTGCTGAACATTGTGTGATCCTTGGCGAACATCCTGCATCAGACCCTATGATGGAGGGAAGGTCATTGATGAAGCACCTGAAGATAGTTGGGCCTAGAACACTACCCTGAGGATGTCCTGGAGCTGAGATGACAGTCATCTTCCATTGTATCAGGCATGACCCCAACCACTAGAAAGTTTGCTCCCTGATACCCATTGATTCCAGTTTTGCTAGGGCTTCTTGATGCCACATTCTGACAAATGCAGCCTTGATGTCAAGGGCTGTCATTCTCACCTCACCTTTCGTTGGATAGGGAAAGGCTCTGAACTTCTCTCAATGCTATCTTTCAGTACAATGTTCATTTCCTGTACAATGAAATACAACTGTATGAAAATATACACTAACAGGATTATGGTGGCCAGTCAACCATTCAATGTTGGCTTATAAATCTCCAAAAATTAAGTAATAAGCTCACCAATTCTGCGAACAGCCTGTGGAAAAATCATATGGACATTAAAAATGTTTTTTCTCATGTTTTTATTTTTCAAATGCTTTTGTTTATTCATTGGATATGGTAAGAAAGGCATTTTGAATCAGTAGGGCATGATTATATGATAAATCATGCAGGTGTACTTCAACCTCAGCCTGCTGTTCTAATTGTGTTGAAAATAACTTGAGGGAGGTTTGCTTGCTGCTGGCTATAGATCAGCCATTTTGGTTGGTAAATCCAAATACGTTTCCAGTGGAAGCTTAATCATAAAACAATACAACTGTTCATTGATCCTGCTCCTTCTCACAGATCTCGGATACAATTATGATTGATAACCACAACCCAAGGCTGGTCCGTGTCAAATAAGTTGAACCAGCTCTTTGGATGTGTCTTGTCAAAAAAAAACAGTGGTAACCTGCATCACATTTAAAACCTAGTTTGGCTACCCATTGAAATACAAATAATGATTGTGGAACAAACCCTGTGGTACAGAGCTTGAAACTAAAAAAAAAAGGCCGTTAATTAATTAACTTAGTAACTATTATTTGATCTGAATCAAAAATGTGCTGCATATTACTTGAGATATTAATCGGGGACAGGACAGTGAATCAGTGGTTAACACTGCTGTCTCACTGCTCAGGGACATTAATTCGGTTCCAGTCTTGGGTGATTTGTCTGTGTGGAGTTCGCATGTTCTCCCCATATCTGCATGGGTTTCTGCCAGGTGCTCTGGTTTCCTTCCATAGTCCGAAGATGTTCAGGTTAGATGGATTGGCCGTGCTAAATTGTCTGTGGTGTCCAGGGACGTGCAGACTAGGTGGATTAGCTATGGTAAGTGCAGGGTTACAGAGATTGGGTGGGGGTCTGGGATCTGAGTGGAATGCACTTTGTAGGGTTGATGCAGACTTGATCGGCTCCGTCCATACTGTAGGGATTCTGTGATTCTGAGATGACTTGCCAGACTATTTTGTATTTATGTAACGTGCTGAGATAACCTGTCAAGGCTAGAGTTAACTGCATTTGTGCTGTAAATAAGGAAATTTTAACAAAAGGAAAAATATTAATCATCTCCCATAGATAAACAAAGTTTCATTTTGGCCACAGGTATATTGTATGCAGAAAAGGTAAAAGTTTCAAGATTAACTTAGGGATCATAAATAATAATTGTGCTTTGTTTGGAGTGCTTACTGGTTGGGCTGCATGCCAGTGATTTCTCTAAAATATTTTGTCGGTTTCATTCAAAATGACAGTATTACTGATTAAGATGGAACTGTTACGTGTGCTTGCCATTCAGATTATGTTCAAACAAGGCTGTCCAAAATTGGAGAACCTCCTCGTGGGTCTGCTCCTGGGCCTGGCCAAGTTGGTTATTAACAGGTCCAGGCAACGGTCTGTGCAGGGTGTCATATCTGCAGATTGTCTGCCCTTCGTCCATGGCTATGTTCGTGCCTGGGTGCTCTTGGAGACGGACCATGCATTGTCCACCAATGTTTTTGATGCCTTTAGAAACAGGTGGGCATGTAGGGGATAATGTATTGTATTTTATTTCCCCCTCCAACTCTGTTTTGACTTAGGCCCTTACTGCTGTCCCTACCTTTCCTTCATTTTTGACAGTTTGCATTTCCTTTAAATAGCTTTGTGTGTAAATATCTAATTGGCTGTATGGGTGACTTACTGCTGGCAGTTAATAAGGAACAAAGAATAGTATGGTACAGGAACAGGCCCAGACTGTGTTGACACATCATACCTTCTAAATTTTATCAATCTTTTGCTTCTACATGGTCTGTATCCCTCCATCCCTCTATTCCCTGCCTATTCATATATCTGTCAAGATGCCTCTTAAACATTGCTGTTGTATCCATCTCCTCCACCACCTGTGGCAGTGCATTCCAGGCACTTGCCACCCTTTCTCCCTCTCATGTCTTTAAATTTGCCCCCTTTTACCTTAAACCTATGTCTCCTCGTAAATTACACTTCTACCCTGGGGAAAAAAGAATGCAACTATCCAATCTATCCATGCCTGTCATAATTTTGTAAACTTCTGTCAGGTTGTTTGTCATCTTTTCGACATTCAATGAAAACCAGCCAAGTTTATCCAATCTCTGAGTTAGAAAGCTTCAAACCAGGCAATATCCTAATAGACCATTTCTGTACCCTTTCCAAAGCCCCCATATCCTTTTGCTGATGTGGCGATCGGAACTGTAGTCGGTATTCTAAATGGGTCCTAATTAAAGTTCTCTACAGCTGCAGTTTGATTTGCCGATTTTTATATTGTGTCCCAAGCCTAGATTCTGCTGTATGTTGATAATACTGAGGGTTCTGCTGTTTACTGTCTGTTGCCCTCCTGCATATTTGTCCAGATTAAATTCCATCTGCCATTTCTCTGCCAAGTCTGTAGCCTTGTGTATCTTCTGGCAACCCACTTCATTATCCACAGCTCCCCAAATCTTTGTGTCATCTGCAAACTTGCTCATCAGCCCAACTACATTCTCCTTCAAATCAATTATATAGATTACAAACTACAGGCGTCCCAGTACTGATCGTGGCAGAACACCACTGGTCACAGATCTCCAATCAGAAAAAAAAAACACTTCCACCGCTACTGCATGTTTTCTGTGACAAAGCAAGTTAAGTTTCCATCTTACCAGCTGCCTGTGGATCCCATGTGAGTTCACCTTTTATAATAGCCTACCACAAGGACCTATCAAAGGCCTTCCTAGAGTCCATGTAGACAATATCTACTGCCTCTGTCATCAAATATCCTTGTAACTTCCTCACAAAATTCAATCAATTTTGTGAGACACAACCATCCCTGCAGAAAGCCATGCTGCTTATTGCAAATAAGTCCATATTTTTCCAAATATGAGTAAACCCTATCCCTGAGCACCTTCAATAATTTCTCTGCCACTGACGTAAGGCTCATGGGCCTGTAATTTTCCATATTATCCCTGTTGCCCTTCTCAATCAAAGACAGAACATTGGCTAGTCTCCAGTCCTCTGGAATCTCTCCTGTGACTAAAGAGGATACAAAAATTTTGTACAAAGCCCCAGCAATTTCCTCACCTGCCTCCCTCAGATTTCTGGGATAGATCCCATCAGGTTCTGGGAAATTGTCTACCTTTGTGATTTTCAAAACACCCAACACCTTTTTTTATATTGACATGCCCGAGAATATCAATATACCCCTGCCGAGGCTCACCATCCACCGTATCCTTCTCTTTTGTGAATACCAATGCGATGTACTCTCATCCACTTCCTCTGGTTTCACGTATAAATATTCTTCTTTGTCCTTAAATGGATCTGCCCTTCCTTATCTACCTTTCTGTTCTTTTTACAGCAAACTTTGTTTTAACTGGCACTCTCGATAAACAGGCAAAAATTATATAACTCAAATACCGTGAGGTTTACTATATTATTCAGTCCAATTATTATAGTTTTTTTTTCCTAATTTTACCTCAATGTAAATATTCTTGTTGTTCAATCGAATGGCCACATGAAATATCAGCAGCTGATTCAATTTCTCTTCCAAATACTGCGATATACTGCAATATCCGAGTAGTAAATTGGAGATGAGAGTGAGAAGGCACTCTGCTGGTAAGTTGTATTTAAGGCAAAGTTGCATTATTATTGAAATGATTTATGTTGTAAGTAAAGTAGAACAGTGAAGTGTATACCCCCTATATTGTTTCTATTACTTAGTGTGTGTTTTTAACATTAATTATATGGACCTCTTAATTATCCAGAATACTTGATCAGTTGGCACAATCCTGGTTCCACAGGTGCTGGTTACTAAAAACTTGTTGTATATGTATAAGATGCCTTGAGATTTTCTTATTTCTGTTTGTCAAAGACATTTCATGGCCCATGTTAGCCCTCCTAATTCCTTGTTTGATTTATTTTCTGCTATCTCTGTATTCTTTGAGGGTTCTCTCTGTCTTCAGTTTCTTAATCTTTATGTATGCCTCTTTTTTTCTTTTTGACTAAGTTCTCAATTTCTCTTGACATCCAAAGTTCCCAAATCTTGCTATCCTTATCCTTCACTTTTACTGGAACATGCTGGGCCTAAACTCTAATCAACTGGCCTTTAAAAGATTCCCATATGACAGATGTGGATCTACCCTCCAACAGCTGCCCCAATCTACATTCCCCAGTTCCTGTCTCATTGTTTTAGTTAGCCTTCCCAGATTCGTACTTTCACCCAAGGACTACTCTTATCCTTATCCATTAGTTAAAACTTACAGAATTATGGTCACTTCCTAAAATGTGCCCCCACTGAAACCTTGATTGACTGGCCAGGCTCACTCTCCAATACCAGGTCTAGTATAGCCATTTTGTTTCAAAAAATGGTCCTGGACACACCTAACAAACTCTTCTCCTCCTACCCCCCCACCTTAAACCAAGCCTCTGTCACTAAGCAAGTTCCACTTAACATAGGGGAAGTTAAAATCACCATTTTTTACATTTTACATAATCTGTCCACATATCACCTGCTGACCATTGGAAGGCCTGTAATACAATCCCATCAAAGTGATTGTAACCTTCCTATTCCTGATCCTTAGCCATATGGTCCTGCTGGAGGACCCCTTCCTCAGTGCACCTGTGATATTCTCCTCTCCAGTATCGCAACTCCCCCACCTCTTACACCCCTCTCGATCTCACCTGAAACATCTAAATCCTGAAACTTTAAGCTGCCAGTCTTGTCCCTCTCTCAACCAAGTCTCTGTAATAGCTATATGGGATGAACCAGCTTTCGTTCTTTATTCATTCATCCCATTGGCAACAACAAGGCTAATATAAAAATAAATCCCCTCTGTTGTGAATACCTGTCTCTGACCAAAATGAACATTCAAAAGGAACACTTTTAACCAGGTTTTCTCACATTAACAAAGTGAGTTTGTTGAAGGAATACTAACATAGCACATGTACACATTGATTAGAAAGAAAGTTGAGTACACAAGATAAAAGTTTACAAAATAAAACATTGCTCAGTTTCTGAATTATTGCAAAGAGCTGATAGTTGAATGGTGTGGAATGGAGGTTACAGTTAACATCGAGTTTGGTAGCTGAGCAGTTGGATTGATGATTCTGTTTTGTAGAATGGTTGAGATTCTGTAGTTCTGATTCCTTTCAACTATGATTTGAATTCCAGCATTCAGTGTGGAGTTTTTGTCCGGCTGCTTGCTGGCTGACTTCTAGAATCAGAGTGAGGGAGGGATACCACTCTGTTTCAGATATTGTTTAACCTTCATAGCACGCTAGCACTTGAACCCAAGCTATGCACGCAAGAATGTTCAGTCTCAATAGAGCACCCCAGTTGAATCGTAACTGGTTTTTTGATCCTTGTCTTGCTTTGTGTTTTTTCCTTTAATGAACACGTCTGCAGTTTGAAACAATCCACAGGGGTGGCTTGCTGTTGAGTCGGGGATCATTAGACCCTTGTTATCTTTCAGTCACAGGACATCTTAATCCAGTCTGTTTGAAGTTTCTTTGACTGTTTTAGAGACTACATCCCATTGACCCCACATGCATTTTTTTGCCAGCCAACCACTGAATTTCAACCTGCAATTACTTTGTCTCTTTAGCAGCCCTCTTTTTCTAAAATTGGAATTAAGGGCTAAACACACACAGTTCAGGGTTCCAACTCCTCATCATAACCATTCCCACACCAGACGAATGAAATGAGATCAGTTTTCAACAGAGTGAGAAGAGTTGAATGTATAACACACCAGACACACACACACTCACACACACTCACACACACTAGTTCTCTTAATCTTGGTCAATATTATCTCTTTATTTCTAACTGAGCCTCTTGTAATTGCAGATGCCCTTAATTTAGTTTGGTTTCCTTGCAATGTGAATGATTTTTAAGTGGTATGGTTGAAGGAACAAGCTTCAATGAAATAATCTAATGTCCAAAAGTTAATGGGTCAGGGTCAGTATAGACTGTGGTCTCTTTACCCATTTCAGATATACGTCTGTGTCTGAGAACCAGTAATAAATAGAGTGTTTCCTTTTCTATTGTTTCTGATGTTTGATTAGGCTTTTCTTCAGAAGTAACTGATTGGTCTCTCCAATTCCGATTCCTGGAAGAGAACAGCTCCTGCCCCGATGTCACCCTCATCGATCGCTACTTTGTGTTCTTGCTTAAAGTTTGGAGCTGGAAGCACAGACTTGCTTGTTACAACAGCCTTCAGTTTTCAAAAACAGTTTGTTTGTCACTTCGTATTACCTTTGCTTTGCTTTTCTTCTGCAGTAAATCTGTCAGCAACACTGTGTTATGACACGGATTTCGTAAACGAAACCAAATCAGCCACTCTCACTGGATTCACAGCACAATTATCTTAAAACATTCAGTGACTCTCAAAATTGCTTAATTGTTACTAACCAGATTTTACAAATAACAGATCTTGGACACCAAGTTTATAACTTAAGCAAAAAAAAGTATTGCTAAATATGCAACTTTAGCAAAACACAGAAAAATTGCAAGACAATATAATGAATATTCAAGATTTAAGCCCAATATTCTTAAAATATAAACCCAGACTTTTACACTGACAGACAGATACATACAATTAAAGAATAATTGTAATTTACCAGTTCAATAATCATTTCAATGATGAATATTAAGCCTTTGTGAGAGCCTTTGATGGTGGGCTGTATTACAGGTACATAGGACCATATATCTTGTTCATATTCCGAAGTCACCGGTAAATGCAGACAGCTTCTACAGAATTTTTACTCATTTCTCAGAATGTTCAACAAGTCAGGAACTGGAGAATAACTAGAGAGAGTACACCAAAAAATAGCTTCTAAAGCAAAACTGCCTGCTGCCAAAACCTAGTCAGAGCCACTTCAATCTCTGTGGTTGGCTAGCCAGCACCAGTCCTCCTTTGACCAATTCAACATCCAACCAGCTGCCTCTCCATGAGCATAACAACACCTCTCTGCCAAATGATGTACAGTATTCTTAGAGCAGTAAGTAACCTGTATTATCTCTCCAGGTCAGTTCCCAACAGCAAACCTCAGTGTTTTATTCTCTCCTCTTCATTTTTAAAACAAGCTGCTGTTCAAAGTACAAAGTTTAATTCTCAACTGCAGTTCACGTTCCAAAATTTAAAAAAAAAGTGATGATGTCTATGTGTGAAGCCACAAGGTATGAGTGAGAAATGAATCATATATTTCACATCAGTATTTACTGTGGAGAAGGACATGGAAGCTAGGGAACTTGGGGAAATAAGTAGTGATGTCTTGAAAAGAGTTCATATTATAGAAGAGGACATGCAGGAGGTCTTAAAACGCATGAAGATAGATAAATCCCTGAGACCCGATCAGATATTTCCCAGAAATTTGTGGGAAACTAGGGAAGAAATTGCTGGGCCCCTTGCTGAGATATTTGTATCATCGACAGCCAGGGATGAGGTGTTGGAAGACTGGAGGTTGGCTATTGTGGTGCCATTATTTAAGAAAGGACACAAGAAAAAGCCAGGGAATTATAGATGGGGAGCATTGTTAGTAGTGAGTAAGTTGTTGCAGGGGGTTCTGAGGGACAGGATTTGCATGCATTTGGAAAGATAAGGACTGATCAGGGATAGTCATGGATAGACATGGCTTTGTGCATAGGACATCATGTTTCACTGACTTGATTGAATTTTTTTTGAAGAGATGACAACAAAGGTTAATGAAGACAGAGTGGTAAACGTTGTTTGTATGGACTTCAGCTAAGCATTTGACAAGGTTCCGCATAGTAGATTGGGTAGTAAGATTAGATGACATGGGACCTGGGATAGCCAGCCAATTAGATACAAAATTGGCATGAAGGTAGGACACTGAAGGTGGTGGTAGAGGGTTGTTTCTCAGACTGGAGGCTTGTGACCAGTGGTGTTCCACAAGGATCGGTGCTGTGTCTACTGCCTTTCATCATTTATGTAAATGATTTGGATGTGAATGTAAGAGGCATGGTTAGTAAATTTGCAAATGACACCAAAATAGGTGGTGTAGTGGAGAATGAAGAAGATTATTTAAGAGCACAATGGGACCTCGATCAGATGGGCCAGTGGGCTGAGGAGTGGTAGAAGGGAGTTTAATGTAGATAAATGTGAGGTGTTGCATTTTGGTAAAACTTCCCCACTTAATGGTAGGGCCCCAGGGAGTGTTGCTGAGCAAAAACACTTTGGGATACAGGTACAAAGTTCCTTGAAAGGGGAGTTGCAGGTAGGCAGGGTGGTGAAGAAGGTGTTTGGCAAGCGTGGCTTCGTTAGTCGGAACGTTGAGTATAGCAGGTGGGATGTCATGTTGCAGCTGTACAGACCATTGGTGAGGCCACTTTTATAATACTGTGTACAGTTCTGGTCACCCTTCTGTTGGAAGGATGCTGTTAAAGTGGAAAGGTGCTGAAAAGATTTGCAAGGATGTTGCCAGGACTGGAGGGTTTGAGTTAGAGGGAGAGGCTGAATAGGCTGGGGCTTTTTTCCCTGGAGCATTGGAAGCTGAGGAGTGACCTTTATAGAGGTTTATAAAATCATGAGGGGCATGGAAAGGATGAATAGCCACCCCTCCTGGGGTGGAGGAGTCCAAAACTAGAGGGGATAGGTTTAAGGTAAGATTTAAAAAGGACCTGAGGGGTAACTTTTCTCACAGAGGGTCATGCGTGTCTGGAACAAGTTGCTGGAGGATGTAGTAGAGGCGAGTACATTTACAACATTTAAAAGGCATCTGGATGGGTGTATGAATAGAAAGGTTTAAGAGAGATATGGGCTGAATGCTGGCAAATGGGATTAGGTCAGATGGGGATGCCTGTTTGGTGTGGATGAGTTGGACTGAAGAGTCTGTTTCTGTGCTGTATGACTCAGTGCTTCTAGACTTTACTAGAAGTAGTTTGGGATGAACGTTTGCTAAAACTCTCACATTCCGAAGAACCTCACAATTTCCTGTTATGATTGGAATGGTGAACTATGCTGTTGCTTGTACCTTTGCAACTTTGGACAGTACTCGTCCTGGGCCCACTGAGTCCTAGATAGGTCACTTAGACCTTAGAAAATGTGCTATTTGCAAGACTGACCACTCGGACTTTATTTTCTAGAAGACGGCTTCCAGCTGCTTCACGTGTGTTTTTTATGCCTTCCTCTATTTGCTGTTTTAGTGGAGACATTTTATGATTTTTTTCTTGAATATTGTAGTTACTCCATGTTACAGTAATGCCACAGAACAAAATACATTACATACGATTTTAAAACATAGGTGTAAACCTACAGGGGAAAACCTGTACAATGGAATTACGTTTTATAAAATTATATTGTCTAACTTACCTTTTTTTTTCTGTTGTAACTATGTCTGGCAGTCTAAAACAGTTTGTTTCTTTTCTTTTTTTCGGGGTATCTTAAACAAGGGTATTTTGTTTATGAATCCATTAGCTAATATCAGCTCCAAGAAATGAACTATTTTATCAGGTGAGTAGTGAGACTAGATGTAATGTTTGAGCACCTGATGAAGAAACAGTTCTGAAGTCATTAATGCAATAAATACCGAAATGTTTATCTGTATAGATTCTGTGCACAGACTCAAAAACTGCTGCAACATTAAAGGGATCCAGTGTGTATATTTCAGGTTACGTTGCCTCCAAACTAGGGTTGGCTAAGTCTCCGTTCTACCACAAACTGTTTCTCTAAGAGCTTCCCAGGTACATTTGAAGAACCATTAGATATTTTAGAACAGTTGTGTGGTTTATTTTGTTTTCTGTGCTTCACAGCATCTTGCCAATATATTAATTTAAAAATATATATGAAAAATAGTTTTGCTTTTTTCTATATTAAATAGTATAGTATGATATTTTTCACTGTATAAGATGATCTAAGAACATGGTAATCTTGCACATTCTAGTAATTTACCAAGCTGAATACACTAACCCAAAAACAGAATAAAGATAAATTTTGGTTTATAACTTGGAACATTTAAACTATGGTTAAGCCATGAGTGAGAGGGGAATCTAAAATAGTTCAAAGTAATTGGAGTAATGTACTCTGTTGAAATAACACTAGAATTAAAAAAAATCCACATCAAAATATTAATTCATTTCTACTATCCTATAATGAGTAATTCGAGTGGAGGTGATGGCCTAGTGGTATTATGGTTAATCTAGAGACCCACTAATGTTGTGGGAACCCAGATTTGAATCCCACCACAGCATTCGAATTCAATAAAAATCTGGAATTAAGAGTCTAACCATGAAAGCATTATCGATTGTCAGAAAAACCCATCTGGTTCATTAATGTCTTTCAGAGAAGGAAACTGCCATCCTTACCTGGTCTGGATTACCATGTGACTTCATACCTACAACAACGTGGTTAACTCGTAACTGCCTTCTGGGATGGGCAATAAATGCCGGCCAAGCCAGCGCCATCCTCATCCCATGAATGAATAAAAAGTATAATTTGCCCTGTTATAGGGTCATGAAGGTTTACTGTATGGAATCAGGTCCTTTGGCCCAACTTGTCCATGCTGTCTATTTTTCACAATTAAACTAGTCTCATTTGCCCGCATTTGGTCCATATCCCCCCATATCTATCCCATCCATATACCTATCCAAATATTTCTGAAATGATGAAATTTAGTCACCTCCACCACTACCTCTGGCAGCCCGTTTCAGACACACACCACCCTTGGTGTGAAAAATTTGCCCCTCTGGACCCTTTTGTATTTCTCCCCTCACTCCTTAAGCTTATGTCATCTAGTTTCACACTCTCCTATAATGGGGAAAAGCAGTTGGCTATCTACCTTATCTATGACTCTCGTGATTTTGTAGACCTCTATAAGGTCACGCCTCAGTCTCTGTGCTCCAGGGAAGAAAAGTCCCAGCCTGTCCAGCTTTCCTTTATAACTCAAACATTCAGTCCAGGTGCAGCCTATTATATCTAGCAGAATGCAATGGCCTATGGTATTATTGCTGGACTGTTAATCCAGAGGCCCAGACAATGTTCGGGGGACCTGATTTCGAATGCCGCCACGACAGATGGTGGAATTTGAATTCAATAAATATCTGGAATTAAGAATCTAATGTTGTCTGTGAATCCATTGCCGATTGTCAGAAAAACCCATCTGGTTCACTAATGCCCTTTAGTGAAGGAAACTGCCATCCTTACCTGGTCTGGTCTACATGTGACTCCAGACCCACAGCAATGTGGTTGACTCTTAACTGCCCTCTGGGCAATAAATGCCTGGTCAGCGACGCCCTTGTGAATGAATAAAGAAAGAAAGTCTTTTATGCACTATTTCTAGCTTAGTAATATCCTTTATGTAGTAGGGTGACCAGTACTGTACGCAGTACTCCAAATGTGGCCTCACTAACATCTTGTGCAACTGCAGAAAAATGTCCCAACTCCTATACTCACTCAGTTCTCCAACCACTGAAAGCAAGAATGCCGAAAGCTGCCTTCAACACCCTGTGTACCTGTGACTCCACTCTCAAAGAGCTATGAACCTGTACCCCTAGATGTCTTTGTCTATAACACTGTCCAGGCCCGACCATTGACCGTGTAAGTCCTGCCCTGGGTATACCTACCAAAATGCAACACCTCGCATTTATCTAAATTAAACTCCATCTGCCATTCCTCAGCCCACTGGCCCAGTTGATCAAGATCTCACTGTATTGCCGGATAACCTTCTTCACTGTCCACTATACCACCAATCCTGGTGACGTCCGCAAACTTTCTAAACAAGCCTTCTAAATTCTCATCCAAATCATTTTATATAAATGATGAATAACACTGGCCCCAGCACTGATCCCTGTGGCACACTGCTGGTCATAGACCTCCAGTCTGAAAAACAACCCTCTACCACCACCATCTACCTTCAAGACAATTTTGTATCCAACTAGCTATCTCTCTTTTTAAGCCCACATTTGTTCTTGCTGTTCATGATGTTATTTTCCTTTTATCAATTCTCTTTTTATAAAAAAAAATTGAAACAGAAAGAAACTATCTGAACTATATATCAGAATAAAATAATTGTCCTATATCTGAGGAATTCCAAACTTGTAACTGATCTAAATTTGTATCTAGAATTAACAAAACAGAGTTGGCCAAACAAAGTGCTGACCAAACTGCAGAGCAATAAATAGTACCATAAAAACTTTTTTAAAAATCTCTGTAACCTCTCTAATGCAATCACATCCTTGCTGTAACATGGTGATTAGCACTACAGTGTGGAATAATAACACAATTTGAGCATATTCTCCTTGCTGTTAAATTTTATGTTTTTGCTAGCATATCTACATAGCATCTTTATCAACTTATTTACCTGCTCTGCTACCAGTCAGGATCGAGGGACAGGCACGCCAAGGTTTCTCTGCACTTAATGTCAAACCATATACAGCATATCCCCTTGTTTGCCTTTAATCCTCAAATGCATTCTTACATCTCCACATTGAATTCCATTTTCCACATTTCTGCCCATTTTGCCCAGTCCGTAGGTATCTTCTTTGAATCTGCAGCTTTCCCCCTCACTCAACCATAAGACCATTTTTTAAAATCAGTCATTCATGTTGTTGGTTGGTTCACTGACCTGACTGGTTTTGGTGCAAATGTTTCGTCTCCCATCTGGGTGACATCTTCAGTGCTGTCTAGCCTCTGTTGAAGCACTGTTGTTCTGTCCCACTGTAAATTTATATGGTCCAGTCTGTCATGATAGATAGTCTTGTTCCTGGTATTGTACCGTAGTGATATGTGGGTGGGGTGTATTTCGATATTCCTCCAGGAATTCTCGTGCTTGTCTTTGTCTTCCTTGACCTAATACTGTAACTTTGTCCCAGTTAAATTGATGTCCTTCTATGCTGGAGTGTATTGAAACAAGAAAGAGTTGATCGTGCCGTTTTGCTGCAAGTTGGTGTTCATGTATCTGGTGACGAGTTTCCTGCCCATCTGTTCTATGTAGTGTTTCTTGCAGTTGCTGCATGGCATTTTATATATCACATTGTGGGTATGGGGGTCATTCATCTATGAGAATAACTGACAAAGTGCAGCTGTTCATTTTCTGTGCTATCCTTATTGCAAGAATTCGTAGGAGTCTAATAGTCAGTTCTGAAATGTTTCCAATAGAGGGTAGGGTGGCCAACGTGTTGAGACGTACAGTGTCTTCTTGGTGTTGTTTGTTTACCAGGCATCGGCAGATGAAGCTGGTAGGATAACCATTGTTTGCAAAGACTCGGTATAGGTGTTCCTCTTTGTTTCTCCATAGCTTTGGGGTGTTGCAGTGAGTTATTGCTCATTTAAACAGAGTCTTGACACAGCCCTGTTTGTGGACGCTGGGGTGGTTACTGTTGTAATTCAGAATTTGGTCTGTGTTGAAACATGATCAAAGAATCGTAGAATTCCTACAGTGTGGAAACAGGCCGTTTGGCCCAACAAGTCCACACCAACCCTCAGAACATCTCACCCAGACTTATCCCCCTAATCTACACATCCCTGAACTCTATGGGCAATTTAGCATGGCCAATCTACCTAGCCTGCACATCTTTGGATTGTGGGAGGAAACCGGAGCACCCGGAGGAAACCCATGCAAACTCCACACGGACAGTTGCCTGAGGGTGGAATCGAACCCTGGTCGCTGATGCTGTGAGGCAGCAGTGCTAACCACTGAGCCACCATGCTGCCCTTATGTTGAAATTGACCCCACCTACATACCACTACAGTACAAAACCGGAAACAAGACTACTCACTATGACCGACCAGACCGAATAAATTCAGAGTAGGACAGAACAACAGCACTTCAATGGAGGGTAGACAGCACTGAAAATGTCACCCAGAAGTGAGAAGAAACGTTTGCATGAAAACCAATCAGCTCGGCAAACCAACCAACAACTCCAACCACAACCCGAGCTACAGAACTTCATTAAAACATTAATCAGTCATTCATATATATTACAGACAGGAAGAGACAAAGTAATGAGGTCTGAGAAACACTTTCTAGTTGCAAACATATTTTGATTCCTGCCACTGAGCAAACCTTTGGGACCAACTCGCTATTTTCCCTTGGAACTCATGGGCTTATATTTTGCAGACAGTTCACCATATGGGACCCTTATAAAAGGCTTTGCTTCAAATAAGCAATCCTCATCAGCTCTTCCTTTAACTCCTCAAAGCATTTGAATGAAGTTAATCAGATTAGCACAAATATTTGGGTCGTCTTAGCAAAGTTGATGGAGAATTATGCTGTTTAACATTATAATTATTTTACAAAAAAGCATGAATGAGCGTTTATTCACATTCGAATACATATCAATATTGTGATAGCTTCACTTGTGGCCACAGCATCAGAGGTCATGAATTAGATACTTCCAGGACGTAAACTCAAAATGTACTCTGATAGTAAAGAAGTACTGCACAGCAAAGAACTACTGCATTGTTAGGTGACACCTTTCTGATTAGATATTAAACCAAAGGCCCTTTTACCTGCTTAGCTGGATGTTAAAGATCTTGATACTATTTGCAGACAAGGAAGAATTCAGGACACTAGCCCCAAAAAATTAGGTTAATTGGTCATTCATCACACAATTGCTTATCTGCGTGAATGAAGCAGTCACCTGGGGTCTCCACTTTAAGGATGCCAAATTAGATGGAATTGAGAAAGTGAATTTTTAAAGCTAACATTTAATTCTAGGTTTCTCCTCTCTGTCTTTATATTAAATGTTTGGAGGGTGTTGGGGTGGCAAAATCATATTCCACCTAGGGAACCAAAAGCTCTTGGGCTACTCTGTTCCTGGTAGGACCTTGTTATATCTACAAGACCATTATATGCAAACATTGTGTACACTTACATTAAAAAAAAATTTAAAATTGGCTGTGAAACACATTGGGATACCTTGATTAAGCAAAAAGCATAACAAATGAAAGTTCTTTCTCAATGCACTTTGAGAATAAAGAAGCCATTTTTATAAATCTGTGCTATTGTCAAGAGAGTTCACCTATTTTCCATGCAAATATTGGAGATTGTGAGCAGCATGTTTGTGATTTTCGAATTTGCAAAACCATGTACCTCAGAACCTTACTTTTGTAAAATTTGGCTCATAAATGCCACCTGTTACACAGGTTGCCAGCAATGCTTTTAGTAATTTAATCGGGTTTCTAAATTAGCTATTTCACTTTATACTAGTCAAATAAAATAACTAATGATACTATTAAATTAAACAGTAAAAAATAATTTGCAGTTATACAGCGCCTTCAAAATAAAAACATTCCAGTGCAAGTTATAAGTAAGGGAACTCACCAAACCATGAAGGGAGTAACAAGGAGGGCTAATCGAGGAATTGGTCGAACATGGAATTCGAGAAAATTTTAAATGTGATCGTTTAAGCCCATGTGAGAGGGCAGATGAAACCTCATCCAAAATCTGTAGTCCACCAGTTCTGCAGCACTAGAGAAAAAGAACAGGCTAGATTTTATGATCAAATCATCATTGTGGGAGTTGCAACCACTACCATCTGACTCAGAACTGTGTCGCTAGCCCCGAATCATGACTGACACCTTAAACAACTGACAAATATCGCATGTATTTTTGTTTGAAATAAATCCATTCTTTAA